CTGACATCCCTCCACACCCCATATAATATACAAGTAAGACTGCATTATGCAGCTACTATGCAATCACTTCTACATATACAGCACAAACCCACACAAATCAGGACAAAAAATATATTTTTTTAATTAAATTAAAATATATTATTATGGGTGTTTGAGTTTTAGTATATAATTTGGGTTTTTTCCCCTAAGATGGCAAACCCTCTTCCCCAAAGGAATACTTCCACGGGCAAGGAGAAGGACTTCCTGTGGCAAAGGTCAGAGGTTAGGGGGTGGAACTTCTGGTACCAAGATGGCTACCAAGGAGGTGGGGGCACCTGTGAAGGGGCGGGGCTACCTATGAGGTCCTCAACAACTTGCCAAAACTCAGTAAGCGGCCCTCTGCCTGAAATAATTGCCCGCCCCTTAGCTAACAAGATACATTTGCTAAGGTATTGTCATCTTTATTGCCATATAATTGGGCCAAATTCTGTTCTTAGTTACATCTGTGCAAGCAACGCAGATGGGTTTCATAGGTTACAAAATCAGTCAGGTCCATTTTTGAACCTGACTTCTACCTATATTAGAACGTGGCACAGGAGTTGCCCAAATCCTTCTGTTTCTAATTTATAGCCTTAACCATTTGGTATCTCTGAAAACTGGAATTCTAGAAGCAGGCAGTCCATTTGGATTTTAGTAAGAAGTGACAAAATCTTACCCCCCACTGTAGCAATCATTTCACTGTCCAACAAAGCAAAATTGCTTGATTAGTACAATTCAGCTAGATTCCACTTATTAGAAAAGGGTTTTAAGACACATTGCTATTTATATTGTCATTAATCTATATAAATATCTGTGGGTTTTATTATTTACTATGAAAACTATCATATACAGGCATTTATGGAGAGTCTATCCTGATACCTTTGAAGTTGAACTTGAATTAATTTCTACATTCTTGCCCTTTCTTCCATTTGGTATTCAAGGTGCTTATGAAAATACTAAAGATCAGACACTATTTTTCAAAGGTAAAGCATTTTATTTGCTCTAAATTTTTCATAAAATATAACTTTTAAAAAAAGGAGAGCAGAGTGGATGGATGTGTGAGAAATTCACTTGCTATATAGTATCACCAGTTACAGGACTTTACTTCCTCTGACTCCTGTGTTCAGCAGAGGTCTCACAGTGGTGGCAGCCAGGGCAGCACTGGCTATAGCACACTGAGGTTGCAGCTGTTTGCCTACCCCCAAAAGCCAGAGGGGTATGGCTTCAATTGTCCCAGTACTGGGGTTCAAAGAGCATTCAGAACAAATAAATCTGACTTACACTTGGAAAATCAAGGTAACATGGAATGAAACAGTCTGTCCTTAATTTTCCCTTATTTAGCTGAATTGTATTGAATTCATAGCACATTTCAGATTAATCCTGCTTGTCTAATTGCTGTGAATTAATTTTGATGCTCAATTTTGATGCTCAAATACCAGAGGAAATAAAATAAACAAACAGATATATTTAGGCAGATGGCACACTATTTATGAGAGTAGTTCCTTATGTAGAGTTGGCAATAAGTAGGGAGCATCATGTGAGCCAAAGATGTTGGGGGGTTTTCTAAAATTTACAATACATTTCCTTAGTGTGATGATAAAATCAGGCATACAATATTAGCTAAGTTTTTAACTGTCTATACTTCTCTCTGCTTTGATTGCAATGTGTTTGGTGAGAGCCCTTACACTGATATTTTACAGTCATTGTCACAAGGCAAATGCATTAGCAGTCCAGCTGGTTATTTTTAAGGCAGCAGTAAAGCAGCAATTATATTTTTTTTCAAGCCCTAAACTCATCTTTATGTTATACTGGCTGTTCTTCAAGTGATGGAGGATTGGATTTGTCAGTAATGTTCCTCATATGACATAACAGAGTACTTGAAACACAAGCGAAGAAGCAAGGTAACTGGATGTGGTTGCCCTCCATCTCTCTTGATGAAGCCGGGCCACTGTGATTATAAGTACTCTTAAACTCTGTTATCCCAGCATTACATCCAGATTGGTGGTTAGTGTACTCTCCTGGGAGGTGGGAGAGAGGTGTTTAAACCCCTGGCATGAGGCCCAATCCAGCACACAGGGCTGACCCCATGTGCCAGATTTGGCCCAGACAAAACAGTGCCGCAAATCAGATTGGGCCCTGGCTCTAACCCCATATGCCAGATCAGGCTCTACCAGATAAAGTCTGTGTGCCAGATCAGGTCCCAATCACAGGTACCAGACTGGGCCAAGACACTGGATCTGACCTGTGGACCAATTCCTCACTACTCATCTGGCCCACAGGGCTGAAAGGCTGGGCACTACTTCTCTAGGCCAGGGGTTTCCAACCTTTTTAAATAAATGTACTCCTTCTGTCTCAAGTTTCAGTTCATGTAGCCCTTTATATTAAAATTATTTGTGGGGGCTGAGCACATACATATATGTGTATGTGCACCCCCTTGTCCCTCAGCAGGCTAGTCTGTGGGGGAGAAGGAAGGGCCTTGGTGGGGGCAGATCAAGGCCCCTGCAGTGAAGTAGGGAGTGGATCAGGGCAGGGGCTGGGGTGAATGGGGCCCTGACCAGGCTGGGTTGTGGGACAATCAGAGCCTGGGAGGCTTGTCTAGGAGCAAGGGGGGTGGGGGAGGGCAGCTCCTGCTGCTGTGCACACTCTGGCAGAGGCCTGGGGGGCACATGCTCCACCCCCCCCCCAATCTGTGTATAGGGTGGTGACAGCAACCATTGCATGCTGGGCTTTGCGTGCCACTGCAGCTGCCCTAGGAGTGGTTTGATGCCATGTACATCCCACCACCAGATGGGCAGGGGGCGCAGCACAGCCCAGGAGTGGCAGGCATATGGTGTCGCACCACTCCCAGGGTAGCTGCAGTGGAGCACAAAGACCAGTGTGCAGCAGCAACCGTTTCCACCCTGCACACAGATCGGCGGGGGCACATGCCCCCCAGGCCTCTGCCAGGATGCACAGAGTGGTGGGAGCCCCCCCCCCCACATATCCCTACGACCTTTTTAAGTACCCCTCAGAGTACGCATACTCCCAGTTAACAACCAGTGCTCTAAACTATTATACAGAGTGGCAACACCATGTCCACTACTTCAGTGAAAGTGATTGTGACTTCTGGGTTTGTTCTAGTTTCAGTTATATGGATGTGCAGCAGGTGTGCTCTGGGATGCCTAGTCCGTAGTGATAGGGCCATAATGCCTAGTCCTGCCGAGATGGAAACAGTTGTGAGGTGCACAGAAGCAGAGTCCCAGCCACCTATGGAACTTTAGTGGCAGAAACTGAGGCCTCTCATGTACCTAAGTATTAGGCAGGAATCAGATTCCTGGATTTAAGTACCAAAGGGCCTCATTAAATAACACAGTTCTCCACTGTAGTGTACATTGTGTTTGTATACCAGATTAAATTAGGATCCAGAGTAGACAACCAGTTAGTCACAGTAGGCAGAATTTTAACGTTTTGCCAGTAGGTGGTAGGGAAGCCTATCGCAAATGGCCACCTCCAGATAACTCCACAGACACATGACACTGCCACCAATATAGCTGACAAAAATGTGGTTTTAGCTGATAACAGTGCCTCTAACTCTCCCTTAGGTAATTCTACCTCGAATTCAAGTACGCTGCACCAGGGTAGGGAGATATTGCATGTGCCTACTCCCAGTTTCTACAAGGTAGAAAGGCTGATTAAACTGATCACATGGTGCATTCAAACCCTAACTTCTACATCAGTGCCTACATGCTTTTATAGATCTGGGTCTAATGCCAAAATCCTTCAATGAATTATGCACATGTGAAGGTTATCTGCTTATACACTATGAACAGTCCCAGTGAAGTCAATCAGATGCCATACTAAGGATAAAGTTAAGCATATGGTTACATCTTTTCAGGATTGAAATTTAAACACTTAAAAAACATTACATCCTACTGTATCATTCAGGTATGATGAAAACAGTCAAACTATGGAAAGAGGTTATCCACGAAGACTAGTAGATGGCTTTCCAGGAGTTGGCAGTAAAGTTGATGCTGTTTTCCAGTATAAAGGTAAGTGAATTAAGATTTAAATACATTTAATTCTCTGGAAGAATTCTGAAAAATTAAAGATGTTATTAATGTTATTATTAATATTTACTGTTCCAAAAGCAAAAATTAACTAGAGCTGTTCTGTGTGTATTTTGAAGCTATTTTGCTTGTTTCCAGCATTATGTGTTAAAATGAAACTACAAATAACGTGCACAATATAATTATTCAACTTCTTATTATTTCCAGGACTCCTTTACTTTTTCTATAGATCAAAGCAGTGGGAATTCAACCCTAATACTAACAATGTTGTTCGTGAGCTGAAGAGCAACAGCTGGTTTCACTGTTAAGATCATTAAACATTACCATATGCAAACCAAGAGAAAAATGTATCTAACTTTCTATGAGCTCACCCATCACTATATTCTCTGAGTGTCTGGTGTATTCAGCCAGCTGTTCTTTCATTCATATCTCCACATCTGAGTACATAGTATAGTTATGCCATGCCCTGCAGTCAAAGCAGAGTATAACCTTCCATATATTTTCCTAATTGTGAGCAGTGGTGCCCAAGCACTCCAGCCTCTAGGGTGCCAGCTCTTGGGGCCAGACAGTCCTTAGTATGTCCCACACATAGGGCATACCCCTCAACTTTCCTGCCATGCCTTGATCTTGTGAGATTGAGAGAGAGTCCTTGGTCATGTGCAGGTACTCCTACGAGCAGAGCGTATCGATGGTTTTCAGGGCTCCTCCTCCCCTTTGCACCATGTCCACATGCCAACCAGGTCTTATTAGGGTTCAGACCACAGTTCTTCGCACAGGAGGGTCCTGTACTAGCAATGCAGGTAGTAAACAACTCAGTTTACTGCATTCAACAAAGGTTCGTGAGGCCCATAAGCTAAAGACTTCAACTGAGTCCCCTCAAATCAACAAAAGATTTATATGATCCTGTGGTAGCTCAAAGGTAGATCATTCTGGGTCTTCTGCTGAGTGTGATTCATTAATTTCCTCTAGGCAGAATTGAACTCAAGCCTTTGATAAACAAATAGTTCATACATGTCCCAATAAATTAATTTCTGGATCCCTCTGCACCATCTGGCAGAAGCAATTCATTTGACCCCTCAGGGAACCAAATACATCAAGTCCACATAGAATAAATAGTTCACATGAGTATTAAATAATTCATTGACCCAAACTCATTAATTCAAATCAACTAGCATTGGACTGAGTGAATGAGTCCCAAGCACTCCTCAGTAATGCATGTCTGTTGACTCTGCAACTCCTCCTGGCAAAGCAGCAATCGCTGGGGCTTCTCCCATACTAAGCCTTGTTCGTTCCTTTCCAAAGTTTGGACCTTTGAGGCTGAAGACTCCTCTGAGCCTCCAGTCTGGTGAGCTGATTCCTTTACCCACTCACAGTGTCCCTGTTAGGGCTTTGCTGCCGCTGGGCTCCAAACCCTGCCTTCCACCTTCCTGAAGCCCTCCTCCTGCTGGCATGGGAAGCTCACTTAACGATGTCTGCACCAACACGCCAGTCAATCCTCAGTCAACAAGAGCTTGTGAACCAGGGCTGCCACTGCACATGTGGCTCTCCTCAGTGAAAATTTCAATAGATCCTAGAGTCTGGTGTAATTAGGAGTACATGAGGTCAATGACAAAGATCTTTTTTTTTTAAATCTCAAAACAACCTATACTCCTGAAGATCAAATATTTCACCTCTGAGGCAATGAAGGTGAAAAGAAACATAGGTATTTCCAGACTGGTTAAATGCAAGCTCCTATTGCAATTTATCTAGAAATGAGTTGAAATGGCCAATATTTGCTAGCTGATCCCTGTTTTGCTTAAACTCTAGAATGGGCATTGCTTCACCATTCACTAATGATCTCAGAAGGACCTTGGTTTGATTATTAGTGCATCTGGAAAGATATCAACATATAGGTAAAAGTGCAGACAGTGTAGGAGGTGTCTAGGGTGCATAAAGTTACTCAGCTTTTATCACTGTTTCCAATGACCCACTTTGACTCGTATCTATTATACCAGAAATTTAATTAAAGACTATCTAGAGGGCACAGCTTCAGGAAATCTTTACGGAAGCTGCCAAGAAAGGAACACCCTAACATTTACAAGCAGAGGCAAAGCTATTCTCTGCTGCCAATTTGCAGCCTGCCATGATCACATATTAAAACAGTATTTAGTGACTGCAACAAAAGGATTGCAACAAATCATTAACCCCAAAAGGAAATTATTCAACACCCTATATAATATGGGCTGAGTTCCCCTCCTTCAATAATAAATAATAATTCAAGAAGTTCTGAAAGTTACATCTGACAAGAAGGACCGTCCCGGGGGCGGGGGGAGGGGTGTGAATTGGGGTGACTGCCCCAGGCCCCGCGCTTTAGGGGGCCTCGTGGAGCCAGGTGTAGCAGTAGTGGTGTGGAGCTGGGTGGAGCAGTGGCTCCGCATCCAGGTACTCACTATCCCGACACTCACTGTCCAGGACAATGGGATCAGAGTGGGGGCAGGGCCCCGCATGAGCTGATTTGCCCCGGGCCCCACAACCTGCATGGGTCGCCTCAGGTGACAAGTTACAAGTTTCTTGCAACCACCATGTCCATAACTCTCACAGTTGAAACATTGTTTGATTGTTTAAATAAATCCTTTGCCTAAGGAGTGGTTTGTCATCAAAAGATAAGCAATTATTCACTTTGTCTGGCTTGCAACTATTGCGTGTCTTGCGGTTATGATGTTAAACAAACACAGAATATTTTCATGTGTAACCTACAAAGGAAAAAAACGAGCAAGTTTTCTTTTATCTTGATGCATATAGAAGATCTGAGAGATCATTCTCAACAGAAAAAGGCTCAATTTTACCATACGGAGTGAAACTTCCTATGCCTGATGAAGGGTGACTGAACCCGGAACTTGCTAAAGAACTTTTTTCCAACTACTCGGTTGGTCTAATAAAACATATCACATCTACCTAAAGAACCTTGCCTGCCAGTTTTACCATAGCTATCAGCACTGGCAGTTTTTGTTTTCTCTGTAGTTGCTGGATATTCTCTTGAAGGAATAGAAAACTGAAACGGCAGCTTCATCAGTGCCTTTAATTGAGGAACTGAGTCTTTACCAGAGACACTTCTTTCCAACTCTTTGCCATGTACTTAAGTTAAAAAAACATAATGAAAAGCAAGTTTTTAAAGAGCCTGACTTAAATCCCAAGTTTCACATCCTACTGATGTATGACCAGCATTTGGAATGAAAGACTGGGTAGAAAAGCTATGTAAAAATAAAGAGAAACTTGTAACTTGTCACATGTAACTTTCAAAACTTCTTGAATCACAAGGAAAAACAGGCCATTCTTTCCTTTAACAGGTCATATTTAATGTTAGTTTTAATATGTATGTGTTAAAGAGATAATACAATGGAAATTAAAATACTATAGGCAAGATTATGTATCCTAAGGTCATGTGTTTTTCACATATACAATTGTGTGATAATCATGCTCAAGGACAAAATATTACTCTCTTACTCAGTAATGCAAATAGCCTATTATGCAGCTGTGTAATGTTTCCATTTGATTCCAGCATGCATGAACTACAAGATTTATATTATCTCAGCTGAGCACCATTTTGAAAACGGAACCTTATATTCTTAAAACAAAGTTTTACACTGGGTACATCTATACATGCAATAAGTGCTATATGGGTTTATTGTGCAGTACTTTACTGCACAGTAAACCCACCCTGGGCAGGTGTCCATACATGCAGCCATTTGGGAGTGTCATCTGGAACTCCACTCTGACAGCCCTGGTAGAGAATGGGCGTTTTGTACCGGGGTGTCGGACCACCAGCTGGGTGAGGTGGTGGTCCTAGCCCTTCTCATCAGGGACTCCCATCTACCTGCTTCTCCCCTGGCTCATAAAGACCTACACCAGCCAGCTGGACCCCTGCCAGGTACATTTCAACAGGTGCCTGGGCCAGACCTGCACATTGGTGGAGTGTGTCCTCAGCCACCTGAAGTGCACCCTGGTGCACCCTCACTGCCCTTCTCAAGGTCACGGAAGCCAACATCCTCCAGGTCATCATCATTGCTTGTGTCCTGCATAACATCTGCAAGGCTCAGGGGGAGCTCTTCCATAAGGCTTTGATAGAGCAAACACAGCAGGCAGAGGATGCCTGGCACTGGCAGCACCAGTTGCAGTGGTAGTGACAATGCCACCCCCTCCTGCCCCACCAAGGCCCTGGGTGAGCCACACACCCAGCAGAGTGGGCCAGGACACCCGGTGCAAGAGGTACCGGTGGACCAGCTGTTTCTGCACTCCCCGCTGTAGGCTACCAGGACAGCTGACCATGTACCTCAGCCCCACTGCACACCCCCAGCACTGCAATCACTAGCTGCAGAAGGCACCACTGGACCTCAGCCCAAGCCCATTGTAGAGCTTGCAGCTGGATGACACACAGCTGCTAGGGGGAAGATGGGGATAGGGCAGGGGTGGGCAAAATGCGGCCCATGGGCCAAATGCGGCCCATCAAGCCATTCCATCTGGCCCATGGTGCCCCTAAAAAATTTAGAAAATTAATATTTATCTGCCCCCAGTTGCCTGTCATGCGGCCCTCGATGGCTTCCCAAAACTCAGTAAGTGGCCCTCCGCCCAAAATAATTGCCCATCCTTGGGCTAGGGACAGGGGCAAGGCATCAGGCAGGATGAAGGTGACCGCCAGGGCCAGGATGGTGTCCAACACCTAACGGTCTTATTCCACAGCTTCCACTGCCCTGGCCACCATGAAGGTCTGTGGCTCATGGGCCTCCACCATCCTTTTGAGGAGTGTGATGTGCCTGTCTTCAAGGGCCAGGAGCTTCTCCCTGAATGCCTGGTCCTCCCAAGCTCTCTTCTGGTCCCTTTCCAGCTTCCACGTACCACTGCCCCCCTTCGCAAGCAATGTCCTCCACACACCAGGCCTGTGAGTCCATAAGCCACTCCTCTGTCACTGTGACCAGCAGACCAGCAACAGGGTCTAGTCCTGGGTCTGCCACTGCCTAAGCCGGCGCATACAGAGGACTCCAGCTGAGACTGGCAGTGACCCTGAAGGCGCAACCCCATGCTGGTGTCTCTCCACCACATGCAACTGTTAGACCTGCAGAGCCAGAACAAAAAGGTTGTTTCTGAGAGTTTAAAATATTTCTGGGATAACAAGCACTATATCAGGGGGCTCTGCACTGCCTGGCCTCAGAAGTCATGCACACACAGGTGCCAGGAACCATGCTAAGCCTGCCAGGCAGGCCCTGGCACAGGCAGCCACTGGCTGAGGCCCCCATCCCCACTCACTCCACAGAAGCAGGCACTTTCCACAGGC